ACACACACACACACTGCCAAAGGACCATTCCAACAGTGAAGCCATGGGGCATGGTAAGAAGTCCTAATGGAACTGTCCCCTGGGAAACATCTCTAGCCCACCATCAACAGGAACAGTGAAGTACAGGAAAATGTGGTACCTGCAGAACTTCCTCCTTCACTGGCGTGGGTGTCTCTCTCTTCTTTGATTTTTTCCAATTCGGTTGTTGTCCTTGAGTTATGTAATCAAATGTGCTCAGCCTCCTGAACACTAGAAAGGAGGAAAAGGGATCATGTCAGCAGGGCACAGCATCAACTCAACAATTCATAAAAGTGACCAAGCCTCCCTGGAATCTCCAACAACCTCACGAGTAAGCCTGAAAGTTGAGGTTCCAGATCAAAGCTCAGTTCCTGCTTACATCTTGACTGAACCCTCATGAGAGACCCAGAATCAGAGGACCCGTAAGCCACACTGAAATCCTAAACCACAGAAACTGTGAAGTCAAAAGTGTGTGTTGTTTTCAGTAGCTATGTTTTCAGGTAATTTGTTAGGCAGCAACAACTAACCAGTACACCCAGTTCCTTCCGGAGATCTACTCTCTGATGTCCAAATACCCTAAAATCAACCTATCCAACCCTAACCCCAGTATGCCTCCTCCTTCTCAGAGGGGTTCCTTCCCCTGTGTTCTCCTGTCCCCAGTTGGCCATTGAGTCCTATCGATTTGGGTTCTTAACATCTCTCCACGATCCCCTCATCCCTCTCTTTAAACTTGTCGAATGTGTTGTCTACACTATTGCTGAAGAGCTCTCCCACAGGGGCTCATCTGATCCATTTCCCTTCTATCCTCCCTGCCCCCACTAAACACCCAACATGCCTCTCAGAAATATCAGAAATACTGTACAATGTGAAAGATGGGGGACAAGATGACTATTACTTTCAAAGAAAGACTTCATTGAAAACAAGTTTCCATCGAAGGAGCTCGTGTGTGCTGGAGTAGATCTGTGCTCAATGGGGTTTTCATTGGCTGATCATTCAGAAGTAGATTGCCAGACCTTTCTTCTGAGGTGCTTTGATGGACTTGAACCTTCAACCCTTTCGCTAGCAGTCAGGAGGTTAACCATCTGTACCGCAGAGGGCTCCAAAAGGTTTCAGAGTATGAGGGAAATGTCATCTTCCCTATTCAACAGTATGGATGGACACGCAGTCACATGTTGCATTGTAACACACTCTACACAATTGCCAGTTGTCTTTTCAGCTGCATTTGATTAATGGGTAATATGTTGATTGTTACACTTTTCGTTGCTAGAATTTCTGACTGGGCCTTTTTGAAATTCACCTGTTCTTTTTTCATAATGTCCTGTTCTTGCCTAGTAAAGTCTATTTCTTAATCTCATTGAATATTTAAACTTTACTGTGGCACTGTAGAGTAAACAATGGACTGCTGACCACAGAGTTAGTGGTTAAAACCCACCAGCCACTTCTTGGGAACCCTATACAAAGTCACTTTGAGTCGGAACCAATGACTCACTTAACCACAACCAATGTTAAAGTCTCTTTTCTGTTGTCTTATATCTGCAAGTCTTAGAATGCGAGTTCACCTTCTTGCTGGACCTGCTGGCCTGCAGTGTGTTTCTTTTCTTTCTGTGGTTTATTCTTTTGGCCATGAGCTGTTTTCCATGAGAACCCAAGGTTGAGGAGGCATCTCTTGAAGCAGTTTTGTACTTACCCTGAATTCACTGTGAATTTCTCGGTTTAGCTCTATGCTGTGACTATGAAAGTTCAGTTCCATACCTGTGCAGCACAGGTTTGTGGTGCTAAGTTATCTTGGTTCATGGTCAGCACTGCACTGCTCCCCAGGACAGCGGGTAAATGTCTTCTGGTGCCCACTTTGCACATGGGGCAGTTCCTCAGGGCAGTGAGTTAGGTTCCAGTTCTCACCACTTGTGGCTTGAAGCCTGAATGCAGGGGTTGATTGGCACTTGGGGCTGGCTGACCAGAGTCTGGAATGCCCTCTCCTGAGTCAGCATCCTTTGTGTAAAAGGCTATCATGGCAGGTCTGTGGCCTTTCCCAGAATCTCAGTTCTTCTCCCTGCAGAACTGGGACCACAGGGAAGTTCACTGCTGGGTTAGATCAGATGCTTCCCGGCCATGTGCACCAGGAAGCACGTCACTTCCTGCCTACTGTAATCTCTGATGCCTAAGAACTCCAGGCTGAAATACACGAAAGTGGCCAAGGGTATCTCCTCTCCACCCCACACCATCTGTTCCTGTGCACTCTTCCTTATTTGCTCAAATGTATTCCACACAACTTTGCTGAGTCCTCCACATGGAAGAGGTCTCGGGGTAACAGGTGGCAAGCACAAGGACAGAAGACCTGGCTACCAACATGAGACAGACAGAGAGGTAAATAAATAGACAGGAAGGTAGATAGACAGGTAGATAGATATATGATAGATGGATCATAGATACATAGATGCATAGCTAGCTAGCCAGATGACAGATAGATATAGATATAGATTGTTGTTGTTGTTGTTGTTAAGTGCCGTCGAGTCGGTTCCAACCCATAGCGACCCTGTACAGGGTTTCTGAGGCTGTAAATCTTTACAGGAGCA